TCTTTCCCTCCTTGGATTTCAAGGCTTGAATGAAGGGTGCATAGAATACTAGAACTGGAAGGGACTTCAAGAGGTATCAAGTCCAGTCCCTTTCCTGCATAGAGGGCCCCGATGGTGGACTTCCCCATGCAGAATTGGTGTCCCACCGAATGGTAGCCGTCAGTGATGGTGAGCTTCCAGATGGCGATTGTGACCCACTTCTCCAAGGGGGTGGCAAGCCGCAGGTGGGTGTCAGGTCATCAGAGGGTATGGGTGAGCCAGGCATACAGGTTCAAAAAGGTGGCCTTCCACATGCAGAAGTTTTGGAGCCACTGCTGCTCATTCCACCGTTCCATGACCAGACAGTCCCACCAGTTGAAACTGGTGTCCAGCCTCCAAAAGCCTCCACAGTCTCTCCACTGTCGGGTGCAGTTGCAAGGTTCTTGCTCCTGCACACAGGGAGAGCGTCTCAAGGATGAGCTCGGTGTCAAGCTTGTGGAGGGCCATGAAGGCAGTCTGTAGAAACTGCTGCAGAAACTGCAGCATGGCAATGTGGGGCCATCGCATGCCCAGAGGCAGCTGCAGCTCCATGGCAAAAAGGAAAATGCTGTGGTGTCCAAAAGCTGGGCAACCAGAGCACGCACTGCTAACACTTTGCTGTCCCTTGGAGAGGAAGGCAAGCACGTGGCAAAAGCAGAGAAAAGGCTGTCCAGGGGAGTCCCTTTAAGCATGTCTCTCAGATAGGCTTAAGCAACAGCACCCGGAAGCAACAGCTAACGTAATGCCCTGCCTGGACATGTTCCAGGTGGCCTTACATGCAAGATAGCATCCAATCAATGTGGATGCTGTCTTTTGATAAAGCTGATAGCTTTTTCAATGCACTTTTGATGTGTAGACCAGTGGTCTCCAACCTTTTGGGGCTGCTGGGCACCTATGGGTGGGGCCACTCACATGCCAGGCACCCAGGGGCGGGGCTGCCCATACGCTGAGTGTCCGGTGCCGGCACCACCCATGCGCTCCACCCCCGGCACCACTTCTGTGCCGCATGCACAGAAGCCAGCAGCACCCATACACTGCATGCCTGGGGCCAGCGCCACTCCTGTGCCACGTGCCCAGAGGTGGGGACACCCATACACCACGCGCCCAGGGCCGGCACAGCCCATGCTCCGCGCACCTGGGGGCGGGTCCGCCCATGTGCCGCGTGCCCGGTGCCGGCCCCGCTCACTCCGCGGGCGCACAGAAATGGCCCGGTGGGCACCACATTGGGAACCACTGCTCTATACCATTATTGAAATAGTTGATAAAGACATTGAACAGAACTGGTCCCAAAACTGACTCCTGCAGAACCCCACTTGTTACCCCCTTCCAGCATGACTGTGAACCATTAAAAACTACTCTCTGAGAAAGGTGCATAACTGGCTGGATAATCAACCTCATAAAACCCCCATCTAGGTTGTATTTCCTTAGTTTATTGATAAGAAGGTCATGCAAGACCACATCAAGTACTTTTCTACCACTTCCCCCTTCTCCCCAAAATTTGTTATGCTATCAGACAAAGAACAATGGAGACCCCAGTTCTTACTTTTTCTTGTAGATTCCCAATGTATCCAAGATACAAGCGTAACCCTTCAGCTGATGTGATAATAAAGAAGGTGGCAGCAAGAAGGAACTGATAGTAGCAAGGCAGCAGGCCATACTGTAACAGAAAGGTATTTCTGACAGATTATTTCCATTTCATCATACCATATAAGCCCATTATAAATCCCTCCCACTCCACTGCTCCATCTATTCACACTCTAACCACTTCACATGTCTCCTTATTGCTACCACATCACAGTCCCTATCCTGGTCAGTGCCTGGGACATGGGCAGTTTTGACAAGTGGTTAGATCCAGAGTCAGGCCAGATGCCAGAGCCCAGGGTCAAAGCCAAAATCAGAAATTGGAGCTGAGACTTCAAAGAGAGTTAACTGGGGTGAAGTAAGGCAGGACAGATGCAGTCATGGCCGTGGGCAAATGCTTCAAGCAGCAAATGACCAATGATAACAACAAATGCTGCTGCTGTGTGTAAAAGCAGATCTGCTGACTTTTTCCAGCCAATCAGACAGCATAGGTAGGCAAGCTGCTGGGCTGGTTAGGTTGCCCAGAACCTGGCTCTCTTGCAAGCCCAGATTCATGTGTCCGAGGCCACAGGGGACATTTGTGATCGCCTTTCTCACCTTCAAAAATAATTCCTAGAACAGATCATTTAGAAAAAGAACCAGTCTTTGTTTAAAGATTGTCAGTGATGGAGAACCCAATATACACATTGGTGAATTCTTCTAATGGCTAATAATTTGCATCTTATTTCCAGTCTAAACTTACTTAGCTTCATCTTCCAGCTATTGGATCAAGTAATATTTGTTCTGCTAGTTCAAAGAGCCCATTGTTAGACACGTGTTCCCCAGGTAGGTACTTGTAGACTGTGATTAAGTCACCCATTCACCTTCTCATTCTTAAGTTAAGAAGATTGAGCTCTTTGTGTGTGACAATGCTGGGAGCTAGAAACTCTTCAGTTCCCTGTGTGGGTTGGCACAATCCTGCCCAAATCTCAAGGCTTCTCCCCTAACCTAAGGGGAGAAAGCTAATGATCACAGGAGACAACAGATGAAAAACAGGATCATAGGTAGGGTTGTCAGATGTCTGGTTTTCAATGAGAATGATGGCTGAGCCCACAGTCTCTTTAAAAATTAGTGAAGTGGCTCCCCCATCTAAAATTATTGCCCTCTCCTGCCATAGCCCCTGCTCTGCTCACTCATGCCCATTCACCATCTGCTCTCCCTATCCCCACCTCACCCCAGCCTGTGTCTGCCCAGTATAACTCCAGCCCCATGAACATGCACAATGCCAGCCTGGCCTTACCTGCATGCTCCAGCATATGTTAAGTCTCACTAAACTAAACATTCAATATTATCTCAACCACCCAGTTTCCAATATCCTGGGACCAATCTGGCTACAGCCCTGCAAACAAAATCGGTATCCTTTGCATACATCACCCCATTAAGTGCCTATACACCAAGGCTGTGTCTAGACTGGCCAGTTTTTCCGGAAAATCAGCTGCTTTTCCGGAAAAACTTGCCAGCTGTTTCATTGGCCGAACCTTAAACAAAAGGTCAGGCATTTACTTAGACAGCTAGATTGGGTAGAGAGAAAGCAGGCTTAACTAAGTGTACTTTCAGTTCCTGTTTCCAATTGAGACTCTTCTCTGGCTGGAGCCAAGCCCACACTGAAAGCTCATTGGTCCGAGATGCTTCAACTTCCTACACAAACAAAGATCTCTGCTGTTTTTTTAAGTTGAAAGACGCAGTCTGTTGTTATGGTGTGTTTGGATTCAGGACAGAGGGACAGTATTTTAGTTGCTGATATGAAGTGCTGACGTTGTGCTGCATGAAGAAGTTTTCATTTATAAATGTTGGACTAATGCCCAGACTGCTATGGTAGAATCTGGAAGAAAATACAATAAGGAGAAGAACGTCAGACCAATTTGCAGGAACATATATGTGGAGAAAAAAGGCTTTATCAAAAGACACTTTGCAAACAGTGAAAGAACTAGATAATGGACAATAGTTATGAATCTTTAAAAACCTATCCTGAGTCATCCCTTATTATCCATGCAGGTAACTATGTTCTTCATAATTAAGTAAAGAATACCTGACTGTATCTACCATAGCCTGTATTTATATCAGCGGAGGAGAAGAGGGCAGGGAAGGAGGAAACATAATGAAGCTTTACAATTTCAGTGCCTGTTGTTTCAAGTTTAATGTTTTTCTCTTTTAATATTGTTATGAAAAACAGAATATTGGAGAAAGGGATGGTTATAGAAATGTTTGTCTAAAGTGCTTATTAAATATTGAATACAAATGTATTATTAGTTCATAGCTCTAGCAAAGGTAGGATGTTTTGGGTCTGTCCCCCAAAGAGACAATGCTGTGTCTGGGTACAAGGTACTCTGAGTGCGCCACAAGCCCATATTCTGCAAGGTAAAGGTATAAGAAACAAAGTGCATATTTTTGGTATGAGATGGATATGTGACTTCCTCCACCTCCCACTCAAAGTAGAGCTTAGGTTGTCATGGAAAATGTATCCCGTTAATATCTGTGAAAGCGTGAGTGAGTTCTAGGTCCCTGACTGCTTAGAGTACTCCTTGGTTGTTGAAAGTGACATTGTCCAAAAAATGAAAGGAAAGAAGGGAAATGATGGAAAACAAAACTCCAGTTTTGATCTTCCAGAGTTGTTAAATACAGCATGGCTGTGTCTAAACTGGCCAGTTTTTCCGGAAAATCAGCCGCTTTTCCGGAAAAACTTGCCAGCTGTCTACATTGGCCGCTTGAATTTCCGCAAAAGCACTGACTTCCTACTGTAAGAAATCAGTGCTTTTTGCAGAAATACTATGCTGCTCCCATTCGGGCAAAAGTCCCTTTTGCGCAAAAGGGCCAGTGTAGACAGCTGAGATTTGTTTTGTGCAAAAAAGCCCTGATCGTGAAAATGGCAATTGGGGCTTTTTTGCGGAAAAGCACGTCTAGATTGGCCATGGACGGTTTTCCGCAAGAAGTGCTTTTGCGGAAAAGCGTCCGTGCCAATCTAGACGCTCTGTTCCGAAAATGCTTTTAACGGAAAACTTTTCAGTTAAAAGCATTTCCGGAAAATCATGCCAGTCTAGACGTAGCCCAACTCTCACCCTCAAGCTGTTTTTCTACCAACGCCTGGCGCACGGTGTGCACTCAACATTCCCCTCAAAACATACAAGCACCCACTTATGTGCAACTCTAGGAAACACTCCTGCACAGCTGCACCACACCCAACTTTGTCCCCCTTCTCTCCTGCCTCATGCATCTACTCCTCTCAGCACAAGCAAAGGAGCCTGCCTGTGCTGATTCCCAGCCTGTTGGCCAGTCCCTGGAAGCAGCAGGTTGACCAGTTTGCTAGGACAAATATTCCTGTGGTGCAGGTGAAATAATTGTCTTTGTTTAAGCTCTGTGAGAGGCCCCTGTGCTTAGGTGGGCTCTTTCCCCGGCTTCACTGTCTCCCTGGGGTTGGGATTCACGGCTCCATTACGCACTGGCCAGCTGTGCTGGACACAGGCGTGTCTGGAAGGAAAGGGCAATGATGCAGTGATTTGAATGCACTGAAGGAATGCATTAGATGTGACTTCATTCATCTTCCCGGCTCTAACACCCCTGGTTATATGGTACCTTTAATGCCAGCATTATCCCCTCGGACAGGCACCAGAATGGGAAGTAGAAGACATTGAAGCATATCATCATCTGAAGGGGCAGGCTGGACAGCACCTCGTGCCCTATGCAGGAATAAAAGGCACAAGATAAGCAGTTCTCTCCCATTGCCACACTGCAAAGCCCTGTCTCACCGGGAACCTACTAAGGATGTAAAAGACTAGTTGACTGGTCGATTATCCAATAAGCATTTGCTTATCAGATAGTATTTTGACTAGTCGTCTAGTAGATATCCCCCTCCACCCCCACCTCGCTTTGTTGCCTCTATAAAATAGAGGCAGCCAAGAGTGGGGGAGAGGTACTTCAAAAGTACTTTCACAGATCAGCTGTGTGGTGGCTGGCCCTTTAAAATACACCAGACTAGTTGACTGGTCGATTATCCAATAAGCATTTGCTTATCAGATAGTATTTTGACTAGTCGTCTAGTAGATATCCCCCTCCACCCCCACCTCGCTTTGTTGCCTCTATAAAATAGAGGCAGCCAAGAGTGGGGGAGAGGTACTTCAAAAGTACTTTCACAGATCAGCTGTGTGGTGGCTGGCCCTTTAAAATACACCCTGTGCGCCTTTCAGAGGAGCAGCAGGGGGGACCAAG